ATCCAGCTACCTTTCTCAACTATCTCTCAAGTTTCAAACATAGGGTGTTCCCTACTAAAGCCCAAATAGCTTCACCAAAGATTAAATACCTGAGTCTCACTCTCATCCCCACCTATAACCTCAGACCACAGAGCCCATCTCCATGATCTCCAGGTGCTAACTTCAAAACAAGTTTTATCTTTTCTAGATTTAAAAACTTCTTTTATCTCTGGATCCCTTACTTTGCTACACTAGCCCAACCTTTATAAAAGCATCCACAGGTTCTTTATCAGAAGCCTCACATCCACTACTCCTATTTCTCATTTTCTAAATTAAAAGAGGCTGTTTCAAAGGCCCAAGCTCTCATTCTCCTTAGGCCAACCCAAGATTTCTACCACTCAAGATCATAATGCTGTAGGAATTTTAGTACACACACACACACACACACACACACACACACACACACACCCTTCTTTCCAAGCAGTAGCCTATCTCTCAAAACAGACAACATGATACAAAGCTGACCTCCTGCCTTTCTCCACTTGCTTCAGCAGCCTCACTAAGACAAGGGGCCAAAGAGTTCACTTTAAAACAGTCAATTATTGTCCACCTACCCCATTGCTCCAGTGACCTTATTTTACACAAGATATTTCCTGCCTTAATGACGTCTCACCTACAAGTTGACTTAATTCTTATACAGGATCCTACAATCACCATCTCTGTTAATATCTCCCTGAACCAAGCCACCTTACTTCCCACCTCTGACGAGACCCCTTACACAATTATAGTGAGGTCCTGCAGATGACTCCTACTCCCTTCCCTCACATTAACAGTATTCATCTCCCTACAGCTTCTGATACACAGTTCATAGATGACAATACAGCCAACACAAACCCTCAAAAGAGGACAAAATATTCTATAATCAAAGGCTTCAAGTCATAGAGGCAAGCTCACTGCCACTCAAAACATCTTCCCAGAAAAGAAAACTAATTGCCCTCACATGGGACCTCACACTAATGACAAAATCATAAATATCTATACTGACTCCAAATATACATTCAACATACTTTACTCTCATACTATGTAACAAATATGAGATCTAAGTAATCACAAGGGACCCCTAATCACTAATACACCTCTCATTCTTAATTTGTTAGAGACAACACAACTTCCAAAACAAGTAACAATCATTCACTATAAGGGACACCAAACATCATCAGGTCTATCTGTCAGGATAGTACCTGTGTGAACACACAGGCTAAATTAACTACACAACAACAATATGTCTCTCGTCTTTCCCCCCTTATCCCAAACACATTGACTTCACTTCAATATTCATCTATACAGTGACAGTTAATTCACAAACCCACAAGTTCTTCCTCCCAGATCAATGTTTTAGACCTCATCACTAACATACATAACTGCTTTCATCTAGACAGTCAAGCCCTATATAAACTACTAAGTCTACTCACTACTCATTCCTCTCTAAAAATATTCATCAGGTCACTCACAGCTGTTTTGTGCCAAAACCTCTCCTCAGAGACATTTATCTGCTTCTTTCCCAACCTATCAACTTTGTGAACACACTCCAAATAAAGACTAATAGATTTTACACATGTGCCTCATCATAAGACCTACACACCTCCACCTCACCCGTTCATAGCCCAGTGTTCTGTTACTCTCTTTACTTCCTTGGCATTTTTTACTGCTGGTCCTCATACTGCTGCTGTCATACTTCAATCTCTCCCTACAACACCAAAACTTTTATTGTTCACTAAAATTTTAGATTCAAACACCTTACACTGCCTAAAACAAAGCCTTCGGTCTTACTTCCTCTTCCACTACTCCTATTCATTCTCCTTCTAGGACACACGGCCTTACTGACAGTCTACTGCACAGTTTTCAACCTCACTATTCCTTTCTCCCACATAAATCCCAGCCTAAAATCTCAAGTTCAAATAAAAATTCTCCAATATTACAACACACAACAAATAACCCCAGCTCAAACCCAGCATCTCCCTACCTTTTCCATAATGCCCACATCTTCACCCCAACATCTCCAAATCTGAAAACAAAACCTGTATGATGATTAACTACCTGGCCATCCCCAGGCTAGCACAAACCCATGGGCCAGCATACTAGGAAGACCTGGTGAGCATGCGCAGAACCTACAGAGACATGCATTGCAGAGAAGGTTAGGTTCCTTGCTCGGGGGCCGTGCACGTGCAGAAGCGGTTAGGCTGCTTGCCCGGGGGCCCGTGCACGTGCAGAAGCGGTTAGGCTGCTTGCCCGGGGGCCCGTGCACGTGCAGAAGCGGTTAGGCTGCTTGCCCGGGGGCCCGTGCACGTGCAGAAGCGGTTAGGCTGCTTGCCCGGGGGCCCGTGCACGTGCAGAAGCGGTTAGGCTGCTTGCCCGGGGGCCCGTGCACGTGCAGAAGCGGTTAGGCTGCTTGCCCGGGGGCCCGTGCACGTGCAGAAGCGGTTAGGCTGCTTGCCCGGGGGCCCGTGCACGTGCAGAAGCGGTTAGGCTGCTTGCCCGGGGGCCCGTGCACGTGCAGAAGCGGTTAGGCTGCTTGCCCGGGGGCCCGTGCACGTGCAGAAGCGGTTAGGCTGCTTGCCCGGGGGCCCGTGCACGTGCAGAAGCGGTTAGGCTGCTTGCCCGGGGGCCCGTGCACGTGCAGAAGCGGTTAGGCTGCTTGCCCGGGGGCCCGTGCACGTGCAGAAGCGGTTAGGCTGCTTGCCCGGGGGCCCGTGCACGTGCAGAAGCGGTTAGGCTGCTTGCCCGGGGGCCCGTGCACGTGCAGAAGCGGTTAGGCTGCTTGCCCGGGGGCCCGTGCACGTGCAGAAGCGGTTAGGCTGCTTGCCCGGGGGCCCGTGCACGTGCAGAAGCGGTTAGGCTGCTTGCCCGGGGGCCCGTGCACGTGCAGAAGCGGTTAGGCTGCTTGCCCGGGGGCCCGTGCACGTGCAGAAGCGGTTAGGCTGCTTGCCCGGGGGCCCGTGCACGTGCAGAAGCGGTTAGGCTGCTTGCCCGGGGGCCCGTGCACGTGCAGAAGCGGTTAGGCTGCTTGCCCGGGGGCCCGTGCACGTGCAGAAGCGGTTAGGCTGCTTGCCCGGGGGCCCGTGCACGTGCAGAAGCGGTTAGGCTGCTTGCCCGGGGGCCCGTGCACGTGCAGAAGCGGTTAGGCTGCTTGCCCGGGGGCCCGTGCACGTGCAGAAGCGGTTAGGCTGCTTGCCCGGGGGCCCGTGCACGTGCAGAAGCGGTTAGGCTGCTTGCCCGGGGGCCCGTGCACGTGCAGAAGCGGTTAGGCTGCTTGCCCGGGGGCCCGTGCACGTGCAGAAGCGGTTAGGCTGCTTGCCCGGGGGCCCGTGCACGTGCAGAAGCGGTTAGGCTGCTTGCCCGGGGGCCCGTGCACGTGCAGAAGCGGTTAGGCTGCTTGCCCGGGGGCCCGTGCACGTGCAGAAGCGGTTAGGCTGCTTGCCCGGGGGCCCGTGCACGTGCAGAAGCGGTTAGGCTGCTTGCCCGGGGGCCCGTGCACGTGCAGAAGCGGTTAGGCTGCTTGCCCGGGGGCCCGTGCACGTGCAGAAGCGGTTAGGCTGCTTGCCCGGGGGCCCGTGCACGTGCAGAAGCGGTTAGGCTGCTTGCCCGGGGGCCCGTGCACGTGCAGAAGCGGTTAGGCTGCTTGCCCGGGGGCCCGTGCACGTGCAGAAGCGGTTAGGCTGCTTGCCCGGGGGCCCGTGCACGTGCAGAAGCGGTTAGGCTGCTTGCCCGGGGGCCCGTGCACGTGCAGAAGCGGTTAGGCTGCTTGCCCGGGGGCCCGTGCACGTGCAGAAGCGGTTAGGCTGCTTGCCCGGGGGCCCGTGCACGTGCAGAAGCGGTTAGGCTGCTTGCCCGGGGGCCCGTGCACGTGCAGAAGCGGTTAGGCTGCTTGCCCGGGGGCCCGTGCACGTGCAGAAGCGGTTAGGCTGCTTGCCCGGGGGCCCGTGCACGTGCAGAAGCGGTTAGGCTGCTTGCCCGGGGGCCCGTGCACGTGCAGAAGCGGTTAGGCTGCTTGCCCGGGGGCCCGTGCACGTGCAGAAGCGGTTAGGCTGCTTGCCCGGGGGCCCGTGCACGTGCAGAAGCGGTTAGGCTGCTTGCCCGGGGGCCCGTGCACGTGCAGAAGCGGTTAGGCTGCTTGCCCGGGGGCCCGTGCACGTGCAGAAGCGGTTAGGCTGCTTGCCCGGGGGCCCGTGCACGTGCAGAAGCGGTTAGGCTGCTTGCCCGGGGGCCCGTGCACGTGCAGAAGCGGTTAGGCTGCTTGCCCGGGGGCCCGTGCACGTGCAGAAGCGGTTAGGCTGCTTGCCCGGGGGCCCGTGCACGTGCAGAAGCGGTTAGGCTGCTTGCCCGGGGGCCCGTGCACGTGCAGAAGCGGTTAGGCTGCTTGCCCGGGGGCCCGTGCACGTGCAGAAGCGGTTAGGCTGCTTGCCCGGGGGCCCGTGCACGTGCAGAAGCGGTTAGGCTGCTTGCCCGGGGGCCCGTGCACGTGCAGAAGCGGTTAGGCTGCTTGCCCGGGGGCCCGTGCACGTGCAGAAGCGGTTAGGCTGCTTGCCCGGGGGCCCGTGCACGTGCAGAAGCGGTTAGGCTGCTTGCCCGGGGGCCCGTGCACGTGCAGAAGCGGTTAGGCTGCTTGCCCGGGGGCCCGTGCACGTGCAGAAGCGGTTAGGCTGCTTGCCCGGGGGCCCGTGCACGTGCAGAAGCGGTTAGGCTGCTTGCCCGGGGGCCCGTGCACGTGCAGAAGCGGTTAGGCTGCTTGCCCGGGGGCCCGTGCACGTGCAGAAGCGGTTAGGCTGCTTGCCCGGGGGCCCGTGCACGTGCAGAAGCGGTTAGGCTGCTTGCCCGGGGGCCCGTGCACGTGCAGAAGCGGTTAGGCTGCTTGCCCGGGGCCCGTGCACGTGCAGAAGCGGTTAGGCTGCTTGCCCGGGGGCCCGTGCACGTGCAGAAGCGGTTAGGCTGCTTGCCCGGGGGCTGTGCACGGGCCGTGCACGTGCAGAAGCGGTTAGGCTTCTTACTCAGAAGCGGAGCGGGTGAGGTGGTTGCGATTCTTGCTCAGGACTTGTGGAAATGCGCATGTACAGGGCCATTAGAGCCTAGACATTGGATAAAAGAGGTTGCTTGGCGTTCATTGAAAGTCAGAGAGGTCAAAGGGGCCTGAGATTCTGCCCGGTGAGGACCGGAAACCGGACGGTCGGAGGAGTCACAGGGCTGCCATGCCAGGCATCTTTGGCAGCTCAGTGCCCAAGCTCCACAAGGCTGCCCGCAAGGGCGACAAGGCCAAGGTGGAGCGTCTCCTCCAGAAATGGAACACGGTTTACAGAGACAGCAAGCAAAGGTAATGGGGCTGCAGGCCCAGGGGCTGTGAGTGGGGCCAGGATGATGCGGGAGAGGAAGAAGTGGGTGAAGCGGGGGCAGGGGGATTCCCACCACCCTGGGAGGCAAAGCTGGCCAGAGAGTCGATCCTCAGGTGGTGTCCATAAGCTGCAAAATAAAAACCAAACATTCACTGGTTTTTAGTGGACTTATACTTCCTGTGTAGACTACATTATTGACTGCAGAAAAGCTATTTAAACATGGTAACACGTGTATAGAGTTTTATTCTTAGTATCACATTAAGAGATGTACTGTTGTACATATTATTTAAAAAGGGAACTATGACATGTTTCCTGTAATCTACAAACTTAGGGTGGAAACTTAACCTGATGAAAATCTAGTGTCCATTTACTATCAGTGTACACCTGTGCATGTATGTTCTTTACTAAGGAACCTTATAAGAAAACTGAGATGGGAAGGTGACGGCATGTTCTTGACTAGAAAGTTCTGTTAGTCTCAAAATGTGAGCTTTCTGTGTATCAGCTTTATAGAAGCTAAATAAAAAAATCGCATAAGACTTGAGTGTCCGTAGCCTCTTTCGCTATGGGGTCACTAAGAAAATGTAGTGAAAGCCCACCTTCGTAGGTATCACGGTAAGTCATTTTCACAAATTAATTGTTTTCCAACAGCCCAAAAGATAAATAAATGAATGTAACTTAGTAGAAAACCTGGAAACATTCAAATATCTGTCAGATTTTAGAAGTTGAAAAATTGGAATGACTCATGAATGAAATGCCTGTAAAGTGTTTCCAAAAAACTTGGATTTTTATGTCACAAAAGTTTCTGGTGGTGTATTGATTAAAAATTTTATATCATACAAAATGAGAAAAGTGGCAAAGGAAAACACATAGCCTATTTGAGCCTTCCTAAGAATGACACCAACAATGAACATTCATTTTTTTGTGTTGGGGGTTGCTCCTAGAACATGGTGCATGCGAAACACACTACCACTCAGCCATCCCCTTCCCCACCTGCATTCTGAAGGTTGACTACCAAAAGAAAAATTAAATTCTCATTTATATTGGAAAATCATTAACAAAATGAAAAACATACTTGTGAGACATTTATAACAAGGGCCTGGGATATTAACTCAGTGGCACAGTGCCCACATGAAAATGTGAGGTCAGGAGTTAGATTTGCAGTGCCAAAAAAATAAAATAAAATAATAAAATAAAATAAAATAAAGGAGAGATAAATACATACATCATAAAATACATCATACATCAGATGAAACAAAATCATACATACATACAGCAGATAAAAAATGTATCTTAAACTTACAGGGTAATTTTTTAAAAATCATCAAAGAAAAATATTGAATACTAATTTACTTCCATGCTAGATAGCAACACTGTGAGCCTCATATCCTGGGCTGTACTGCTGAGCTATATTTAACTCTAAATTATGTGGTTGGTTTGACAAGTGACCTGTAAACATAAAAAGAAATGTTTAATGTCCCTGATAAGGGGAATTTAATTTTACAAAGGAATCAAATGTTTTCCAGTTACAGAGTGTGAGAATGAAGAAAAGTTTATTCTGCTGCTTAAAACTGGAGATGGCTTATGACTTTTTCAAATAGGAAATTTGATATAAGTACTATACCACAGTTTAGGAAAGCATGTCTCCACCAATCAGCTCTCTTCTAGAATATCTTTAGGACATACAGAGACGCATTTAATATGCATTTCTTCAGTATTGCTTAAAATAGTGATGGATTCACAGAAGAGATTGTATCAGTTGCAGTGCATTCATAGGATGGAGTGATATATAATCACTGAAATTGGCATCACATCAATATATTCTTAACAGGGAAAGATGTACTTTCATATATCCACTGAGCAAAGAGTCAGTTTAATTTTGCATACACACAGATAGGCTGCAGTCTTGTTTTAGACAGAAAATGTATACAAATTGTGGCAAAATTTGTTATTTTCAGGCATTTGACATTTTCTGTTCTTTTTTATTATCGAGAAGTTCATTCTAGTTGTAATATTTAGGAGTTTATTAAATTTTTTCATTCTAACAGTTTCATTGGCCCAGAAACAATGCTGAGTATTCTATATTTTGACATTTTTGTGCCTTGCATTTTGCATGTTATGATTAGTATTGGCAACGGTACTGTGTGCTCTTCTTTCCTTTCTCTTATCCTTGATTTCTATAATAGATATGAAACTCTAGTGAAAGTTGATTATTAATAAAATAATCCTTGAGAAAAACAGAAATATTAGTTAAGCACAGATAATTTTCATTTTTATGTGTGTGTATTGGTATTTCTGATAACTTTTTACTTCTTCTGAAATAAAGAAATTATCTGTATGTATAGATTTTACTATGAATCATGTGATGATGCCTTACGAAGAAACCTTTTTAAAAGCCACTGCTGTGGGATTTTCACATGGAGAGGCAGGGCACTCCAGCTGCCCAAGGAGGCAGCTTCATTGGTGCTGACACTAACTCAGCAGATTCATGATTAACATGGTATAGTTGCCCCCTTTTATACAATTTTTGTCTTTTCATCTCCCTTATATGGGCACATGCAAGGATTTTCCAGTCTGGCCGGTATACCTTAACATTCTATAGGCTGGTTTATGTTATAGTGTTATATCAGTAGCATACACAGAGGCTGATGTTAAAAAAAAGCCCCCCATACTCCAAAGGTCAGGAGGGGCCCTCCCACACCACCAGTTATAGTTACACAAGACCTGTTGTCTTCTGAGCTGTGTGTGGCTTTCCAATGACAGAGGTGTTAAAATATGAGAAAAAGTGTCTGGAGGCTTATTGAAATAATTCTAACCCCACAAGGTAGGTCCATTTGAATTATTTTATTTTACTTAATTGAAATATTGCCTTTGTTAAGTAGTAATAGGAGACATTATAGTATCAGACAATTATTGAGCCGTTACTTGTTTGAGAAGTTATTCGAAAAATTTTGTGTGGATTCTTACTTAACCATCACAGTGGTGTCTTGTGAGAGAACTGCTTTCAGTCCTCATTTTGTAGGTAACAATCCCGAGGCACAGAAAGGCTAAGGGATGGCTAGAAAGTAAGAACTTAGAGTAGGAATTAAATTCCAATTGAGCTAAATCCAAGGCCTGCTCTTTCTATTCCAGTGGGTTGCACTAGGCTGGGAGGTAGCGCAGTGCAGGGATCTTGTTTAGTATGTGCAAGACAGCAGCTTCCATCCCCTGCACCACACACAAATGCAGCATCACCCACTTGCTCTTCCATTCACAGGTGAGTAATAAGAGATGCTAAGCATTCTATGTTTTCAAAGATAATTAAATACTTATTGTGAAAGGTATTTAATGTTCACAATTCCATGAATAATTATGAATTTTGAAATGGAGTGCTGTAATTTCCTAATAATCTTTCTGACTGTCCCAGGACTGCTCTGCATTATGCCAGTGCCTATGGCCATCCAGAAGTGGTGAGACTCCTGATACAGAAAAAGTTTGACCTTAATGCCTGGGACAGTGACCATGACACCGCTCTGATTAAGGTAAATAGCAGCCAACAATTTCAGCATGGGAGGGATTGTATTTAAATGCTGAAAATCAAAGTCAGTTGATGTAATTTGAATATAACTCCTTGGCCAGGCATGTGGAAAGTGTGTTTGGAGTTTCTTGAGTTGATGGTGTCTCCTCTGTTACAATACCCACAGGCTGTAAAATGCTACGAGGAAGACTGTGTTAGTATTCTCTTGGAACATGGTGCAAATCCAAATATTGCCAATACCAAGGGCGACACTGCTCTGCATTATGCAGTTTACAGTTCAAAGTCTTCACTAACAGCAAAACTGCTTTCGCATGGTGCCGATGCTGAGGCAAAAAACAAGGTATAGAGCACTGAATTTTCTTTCCAAAGTTTCTGAAATACTTTCCTGTTCACAGTGACATATTGGTTGGTCAGTTCTCCATATTTAGAAGGTCAAGTGTTTCATGGATGGAAATACACTGTTTTAAATAACTTAATAGTTAATGTTTTCACTTTCAATGTTGATAGTTTTAATGAAATGCTAGAGGATGTGAGTTTCTATTATGCACTTACAGCAAGCATTTGTGAAGACACTGAAATTTAAAAAGTAAATCATTTTTCTGTTATTTTTTCCAAATGGTTATATTTTCTTTCTTTTTTTTTTTTGCACTAGTGTAAAACAACACAGGACAGCAAAATTAGCCTCAGAAATAGGTATTATTTTAAAACTTAAACAGAACAACAGTATTTTACAATAAGTGGTAATTTTGTTGCTGTTGACAGCTCATAAAAATGATCCATTTTTGATTTGACTTAAATGGGAAAAATGAGAAGGAAAAATAATTAGAAATAATGCAGGCCCATAGAGTTTGCTTTGTTGGTTGGCTGTTTTTGAAAAAATATTTTTTCTGGTTCATGTGCATAGATAAGATCAATTTTTAGGAAAAATACTTTTTTTTCTATTCAGTACTGGAAATTGAACACAGAATATTCATACTGAGCTGCATCTCCTGCTCTTTTGTGTTATGTTTTACTTTGAGGTAGAGTTTCAAATTAGTTGCCTAATTTGAATTTAAACTTGCAATCTGCCTACCTCAGCATTCCATAGTGCAGATAATCTGGTTGTACTCAATTTGGGAATAAAAATTCTTTATTTTTTTCTTTTCTTTTTTCTTTCTTTTTTTCAATACTAGGAATCAAACTCTGGACCTTGCACTTACCAGGCAGGCATGGTGCTGCTGAGCTATATTCCTGTCCTCTTAAAAATTTTTAAATAGTAAAGAGAATGATATAAACCTGAAATTTTAGGAGAACTGGATCAATCCAGTTTTTCACAGGATGCATGGTGATTAAGTGGGAAACAAGGGAAATGAATGAATAATAAAGAGAAGTCCTCTCCTTTTCAGTCAGAAACCACAACTAAGATAAGAATCTGAATTGTCCTTTCAAACATATGATGTCTTGCTGGGAGCTGGGAGTTAAGGAGCTTGTATGATGAGATCAGTTGTATTTTGAATGTACTAGTCCCTGTTCTGCCCTGTGCCAAGAGGATTAAATGGAGCTTCCATGGAGTACCTGTCTCTCACCTTCCCTCCTTTTGTCTAAATTCTCAACTAGTAAAAAGTAGTGGCTGTGTAGATGAGAGATGAGACTGATGTCATCTTCTAGGTTCTCTAGTCCTCATCTAGACTTGTGCATTTCTGTGGTCAGGAGAAAGGTTTGAAACAGTTGAGGCTCTGTCCTGGAGATTTGGGTTCAGTAAATGTCTTAAGCCCTGACATGGATATTTCAAAACATTTCCTCAAGATTCTGACGTAGCTCAGAAGCATTTAATGGACAGGCATGTTTAATGGTGAATTCCTAATTCTCAGAAACTGAAGAAATCTCTAGATGAGTTGGATTAAATACCACTTCCTTCTAATCTCTCCTTTCCAATAAAATCAGGCCAACTTTCATTTGTCTTTCTCTACCTCTGTCCATGGGAAGTGAAAAGGAGTATCATCAGTGAAACCTCTTATTTTGCAGAATCCCACCACTTTCCCTCCCATCTGCAGTCATTCACTGCCACTGTGAAGCTCTGTAGAAATTCTCTGATGGTTGAGATTGAATCTTGAAGAATGTCACATCTCTTTATCATCATTAGTGCCTCTCTTTATTATCATTAATGGCCCAGTGTTGACAAATGGTGATTTGCAGGAGTTTGAACAATATCCATCTTGAGCCTGTATTTAGTTGAAGGCATGTGATAGACTATTTCAATGTATTAAGTGACCCCCCTGGTGAAAATCCTTGAAATTGTAAGAACATAGGTGGGAATGTTTTATACATTTTTATTGCTTATTTTTATTTTGTGTGTGTGTGTGTGTGTGTGTGTTACTAATGATTGATCCTAGGACTTTTCCATTGAGCTGCATCCCCAGCACTCATCACTCATCACTTTTAAAAATTTGAGACAGTGTCTCACTAAGTTGCAGAGACAGAAATCAAATCTGAACTTGGATCCCTCTTCTTAGCCTCCCAGAATGATAAGATTACAGATGTTCCTGTCCCCTGTCCCGCTGGGAATAGTTTTGATAATTTCCTTTTGGCACTCCTTTTTACCTGCTTAACAGTCAGGGAGAACTGCATACACATGGAGGAAAAGTATGCGTGCTGGAAAAATTATTAAAATAGGTATAATCTTTTTTATTTCATAGCAGGACCTCTCTTTTTGGTAAAACATGATGTTAAGGGAAGAATTTTACATTGTACACAACCATTTGGAAGCACATGCACAGCAAAGATATAAGCAGAACACTATGGACTAAATGTGCCTTTTAGCTCTATGCAATTTGCTTCCATCAACTGAATTCACAATGAAATTTCAGAAAACATCTCCATAATTTGAAGTTGGAGATGCTCACAAAGAAGAGGCTGTGCTGTCTTCAGAGCCCCTGTGACTGTGAGGGTGTGCCCCCTGTACAGGAAGCTCCCATGGCTTATCCAGTTTGCTATTGGCTCAATTCTGTACTTCTTCCTGCCCACTACTGTGCTTCTGTGAGAGTTTCCAGTTCTTAAATGATGGTATATTTAATGTAGTCAGGAATTTCAGAATATCTTATATTCATTTATAAGGATGTAATCTAGATTTTAGAATGAATATTTTAAAATGGAATGAAGTTTAGAGATTCTTTAAAAAAGGTTTCCCATATACTATACGTAACCATGTTCCTATTAGAATGCCTGAAGGTATTATTAATTATAATCACAACTGGATAGTTTGTGCATGTTACCAAGAATTTTGTATCTTCTTTTTCAGCCTTATCCCTTAAAAATATAAGCGACTTAGTGAGTTTCATTATGATACAATTTTCATATTGAGAAAATTCATATTGAGAAAATTCTGAGAAAATTTTCATATTATGCAGTGTTAGAATTTGTTCATTATGAGAAAATCCATCTTGAGCAGTATTAGAATTTATTTATTATGGGAAAATGCAAATTAAGCAGTATTAGAATCTTTATTGATGAACTATATTTTACCTCTGATTTCTATAACATTAGTAATTAAAATGGAAACAGAATATAACTTATTAAAAACAATAGCTATGCTGCGTGGGGATCTTAGCATTATCAGCATAAATGACAATTGAAATTTTGTACTGATCTTTTCCACTTTCATCTAGTAATAGGACAGAACCCCATGGATTGTGTAGTAATAAGGGATCCATGTTCACTTGGATCATGTCCTCAGGGACTCCTTGAAAGCTGGAATGGTTAAGAATTGTATTTGGATCCTTACACTAGGTGGAGAATCCAACAAGTTTCTTGCCTAACTCAGAAAAAATTTCCATAGTACTAGAAAGCTCTCAGCTCTGTATCCCTGAAACTGTTAATTCCTCATGTTGATATTTGTCAGAAGAAAAGTAATGTTAAATAGGAGTAAAGCAAAGGTAAAGAGATTTTAATACTGAGGAAATAATGCAGTTTTATAATTTCTCAAACATGATTATCAAATCTGTTGAGACATAGAAGTCATGGAAAATTATTCTTTGGAAGATAGGCTGAGAATTCCTGCCCTAGGGATGATGATTTAACTCATTAATTTAATCCAAATCCTTCAATCATTTTTGACTGTGCATTATGGTTGGAGCTACTGAGAAAAAAGATACAGCCCCTGCCCTGAAGGTGCATTTGATTGAAGCGGGAGATGTTACATAACTCTGAGTACCATGATAAAGGCTGTGATGGAAAGACCCTTGGAACCAGTGACTGGAGCGAGTTGTGACCCTGGGGTTTCTGTAGCCACTGTGGGCAGAGAGCATGCACTGCAGAGGGTATGGCAGGGCAGCACGTGTGGAAGCACTGGGAGTGAGAAGGAAGAGACTGCTGTGTGTTGTTATCTATATCAGGTTAACAGTCAGGGTCCTTCACAAGCTGTTCAGTTCAGCTGAGAAGCAGGCAGTTGTGTGGGTTTTAAATTGTTTCTGCTTCTCCACAGGAAGGCCTCACACCACTTATGCTTGCTCTAAGGGAAAACAGAATGGAAGCGGCAGCATTGTTAAAAAAGACAGAAACAAAGAATGTGGTGAATGAGCCGGAAAGGTATGGTTGTTCTTTTTTTAAACAAGAGTTCAGCAGTGTTGTGGAGTGGTAATAAGTCAAATAAGTCAGTAGCTGAAAGACTACCTTAGTGACTGGTGTATAATGAAAAAGATCAACACAAACCATCAGATAGAAAAATTATTTGGATTGGGCAACATAAGGAATACTGTGCAGTACAAGTCATGCGCTATTATTGAGTAATTTTGACTGATGTCTGCTTTTTAATGAGAAGAATAACTTTTGTAGTAAAACAATAAGGAAAAACACTGTGTATTGCTATGTTCATGGAACTTCCTCAGAGTACAAAACATAAGCCTAAATGCTTCATATAAAAAGGAAAAAGTGTAAATGTTTCTTTTCAGTGATTGAAAATGAGCTAGTAATATAAACAAGTTGGCACATAAAATATTTAGAGAAGCAAAATATGCAATTTGGAGAAGTATGCTCATATAAGAGAAACCAGAAAATATTTGAACTTGTGTTTCAGACTTATTTCAAAGAACTTTATATCCTCAAGTTGCATTCATTTATCTATGAGTTCCTCAAGGTTATCTTTCTTTTTCATAGTGCAGTATTCCATTGTGTATAATTGCCATTTTCCTTGTACATTATTCTCTTAATGGATGTACACACTATTTTAGAGATATAGCTGTTAGAAATTGTGCTGCTGTAAACATAGATATATATATATCCCTGTATGTATGATTTTAACTATTTTGGAAGATTTCTGCAAGGGGACGTAGCTGTCTCAAGTGGATTTCTATTTTCAGTTTTTTGCGGAAACACCACACTCTTTCCTGTAGTGTTCATACTGGTTTATATTCGCACCACCGTTGTAGAAAAATCCTTCATTCTCATCACCATTTATCATTAGATTTTTTTCATGGAAATCTTTCTAAGATAAAATGCTATCTTTGTGTATTTTTAATTTGCATTTATGTAATTTCCAGAAGCAATGATGAGTTTTCCATGTTTTTATTGGCCATTTGTACTTCTAACAAGTATCATTTCATTTCATTTGTCTGTTCTTTTGAGTTTTCTTTGGTAGGTCTATACTTTGATGCTTGTCCTCTGCCTGTGGAGTGGCTAATGAAAGTATTTTTTTTTCCAATCTGAAGATTGTCTCCTCATTCTGTTGGTTGTTTCCTTTGCAATGGAGAAGCTTTTTAATTTCATGAGACTCCATTTGTTGCTTGTCTATATTGTATTTTGTGCCATTAGGGTTTTGTTCAGAAAGTCCTTGCATGCCTGTGTCTTTGAGTACTGCCCATTTTGTCTTCCAGAAGATTGCTTCTGTTTTAACATTTAGTTCTTTGGCCCATTTTGGTTATAGTTTAGTACATGGTGATATATGTGGATCTAGTCTCAATCTGTTGCACGTAGGTATCCAATTTTCCCAGCACCATCCCTGAAAGAATATCTTTACTCTGGTATGTTTTTGACTCCTTTGTCAAAGATCACCCAGTGCTCTGGCTCTGTGTGCTTTGAGTTGTCTCTGTTGTGCTCTCTTCAACTGATGCACATGTCTGTTTCTATGTCAGTACCATGTGGGTTTCATCACTGTAACTTTATAGTGTAGCTCTGAGCTTGGGATTATGATGCCACCTGCTTTGCTTTTGTTACTCAGGATTGCTTTTGGTAGTCTGAGTCTCTTCTAATTTCCCCCAATTTTAGGATTGTTCCATTAGCTCTGTGATAATTGACTTTGGTATTTAGCTTGGGGTTGCACCAAGTATGTTTACCAATATTGAAAGTCAGGCCATTTTGACAGTATCGATTCTGTCTATCCAGAAATGAGGACTATTTTTTCATTTTGTGATATTTTCAGGTGCCTAGTTTTGAGTGGTGTAATTTTCACTATACAATGCTTTGCTTTCTTAAGCTAACACCTATCTATTTAAGTTTTTTTAAATGTTGTCATCAATGATATTATTTTTCTAATTGCTTTTTCAGTGGGTTCTTCAATTTTTTTAATTAAAGAGAAAAAAGAAAGGAAATAAAATAAACAAAGCAGTAAAAGGGTACAAATAATACAGAATTTCAAGAATAAAATACAGTAAGATATCACTAGTTAATAGGTTATATATTGTCATCTTTGAAATAGTTGTCCAAATTATAAAATTAAAGCATGTACAGTGAACATTTATAGAATGAGTTTGCAGAATGTGCCGATCAATGATTGAACAAAAGTTCAGTAATATGGATTTCCATCCTATACACTCAAACATACATGCAGCTATATCCCTTAGACCACCTTCCTTTCCTCTCTTTTTAATAACAATTACACTTTTTGGGTTTTTTTACTCCCACAATTCTTATTATTTTTTTGAAGAGAATAAAACCTAACGTGGCTAAACAAAGCAGAGTCGGTTAGAACAAAAGGTTGGGCATAGTACATGATGTAAAAATAAAATATCAGGTGATGTAAAATGCTTACCATTGTGCCTCTGCTATGTTTTTAAAAAGTTGCCTATATCATCAGATATAATAGAATTGATCAAAACAGTACAGAACAAGACTAATAAAACCTACACTGGAGACCTCAGAGGATTTCAAAAGAAGATAATAATCAAACCATAATGGGCATCTTAGTGAATCTTATTGCCTTGAAATTGGTTGCCTATACCCTCAAACTTGATACTATCAACAAAATAGAATATAGTAAAATCTGACAGAACAAGATGGGGAGAGCAATACTGGGCATCATATCAGGTTAATAAGAAAACAAAAATGTTACTGTAATATATACCTCTATTGGGTTCTTCAATATTGTATAACAATGCTATTGATTTTATCTGTGTGTGTGTGTGTTGTATCCTGGTATCCTGATAATGTTGGTTAACAGTTCTAGAATTGTGTGATGGAGGGTTTTGTGTCTTGGAAGTAGAGGATCATGTTATCTGCACATAAAGGTCTTCTGACTCCGTTCTTCCCTACATGTATCCCTTTTATTTCTTACTCTTAAATAATTGTTCAGGCTATTACGTGAATGACCACATTGAACAGCAATGGTGATAAAAACAACTTCTTTGTCTTGTTCCTGATTTTAGAGAGAAGGCTTTCAATGTTTGCCCATGGCATGTGTATTAGCAGTAGATTGGTCATAAATGGCTTTTATCATGTTGAGATGAAGACCTTCTGAACTTACTTTCTTCAGGGTTTTAATCAAGAATGAGTGTTGCATTTTATCACAGGCTTTTTCTGAACCTATTTAAATGATCATGTGGCTTTGGGCCTTGATTCTATGAAGATGAGGAATTTTGTGTTTGTGTTTATTGAGCCATCTTTGTATTCAGGGGCTGAAACCTGTTTGGTAGGGTGCATGATCTTTTTGATAATTTGTTGTATTTGGTTTACTAGTGTCTTAAAGATTTTTGCATCTATGTTCATTAAACAAATTGTCCTCTAATTGTCTTTTATGGTTGTATTCTTTTCTTCTTTGGTGGTGAGGATAATGATAGCTTCCCAGAATGATTTTTGAAGTCCTACCTTTATTTTTATTGCAGAGTTTGCAGAGTATTATTATTAGATGTTCACTGATGTTCTTAAAGAATTTCATTTTGAGCCCGTCAGGTTCTGGTTTTTCTTTTTAAATTTTTTTATTTAAAGAGAAAACAAGAAAAAACAAAACTGAAGGAGGGAAGAAATAATGATTAAAACATAATTTAAAATTAAAAATTAAGAAATCACTAGTTGATAAATCACATATTGTCCTCTTAGAAATAGTTGTTCAAATTACAGAAGTAAATCATACAAAGTAGACATTCAAACAGTGAGACTGCAAACAATTGTGTTCAGTGATCCAACAAAACTTAGTAATATGGTAATTAATCTTACATACTTACCCATGCATGCATTTATATCCGTTAGAGCATCTTCTTTTCTCCTCTTTTTCTTTTTCTTTTTCTTTTCTTTTTTTTTTTTTAAAGGCAAGGGAAAGAAACTTTAATTTTGTATGTATGACCTTGCTGGTAATCAACAACAAAGAGTTCCAAGAAATGTGGATGTTAAGGAGGCTAGCAACGTAGCTCTGTGGTAGAGTAGTTCATCTAGCACTGGGTTCACCCCCAGCACTGCAGACAGAAGCAATCAACATGCACGATGGACCACACTTTTCTCTCTACTCTTGGAAAGCTGAGACTTTTGAAACAAAAGATTGAACAGTGGCTGGAGATACTGCCTTGTGGTACAATATCTGCCTACCATGCACCAGGCCCTGAGTTCATCCCTATAACCACTGCCAAAAAAGAAAGGAAAGAAAAAAGCTGGTGCTGGAGATTTAGCTCTGCAGCACAAGCGCCTGCCTTGCAAGCGCGTGGTCGTGAGTTCGATCCCTGGTACCGGTTAAAAAAAAAAAAAAAAAGAAAAAGAAAAAAGAAAGCAAAAGGCAAAAACTAACCATTTTTATTATGTTACAGGAAAAATGCAAGGAAACTAAAGTTTTTAAAATAACGATCTGAAATAGCCTATTTTTAGTGAAGTATCCTGGTCGCTGTGCAGATCTGTCTTCCCATCACTGCTGCCTGGGAGCAGTCACTGAGCTGCCAGTAATGAGGCTGCTCCATGTCCTCGTTCCTGACCGAAGGCTGAGTAGAAATCAACAAGGAGAGGTTTTATACATTTGCATGGGAGGCACCATGTGCCTCCTTCTGTAGGTTAAAATGCAAATCATATGTACATGGAAAAAAAGTCAGCTCACGTAAATTTTACTGTGATTTTAAAATTAATTTGTAATACTCAGTAAATTACCTTTGATATAATTTTGAACTCGGGTTGCATATGTTTTTAAACTTTTTTAAAAAAAATTAGAAAGATGTAGTGTTCCTGAATCCAGAAACTTCTTGCACATGTACGTAGATCGAAGCATGTATTATGATGAAGAACTAAGATTTGCCATTGCAAAGCTGTGGCTGTCATTGACATGGAGACCTTGACAGATGCACTTAATTACGCTTTCTTTTAGCCTAAAATTAAAGGAATTTCTCCTGGTATTCCCTGTACTTTTCTATTCAGCCTCACTACCTGAAATTATGATTGTTCTCTCAGGGGCCAAGCAAGGAACCGTGCCCTTGCGACCTTGCCTTGGGGTCTGGGCTCAGAGATTTTGCCCTGCCTGCTCCAAGGAGCCCACGGGCTCAGCTCCAGTGTGGATTTTCTGATGCTGGACAAGGTTGCAGTGGTAAAAGAAGCTCTTGCCACATTCTCCACATTGATAAGGTCTCTCTCCAGTGTGAATTCTCTGATGCTTCACAAGGACAGAGCGGCGGCTAAAACTCTTCCTGCACTGGCTGCACTGGAAAGGTTTCTCTCCAGTGTGGACGCGGAGGTGGTGGAACAGCCCGGCGTTCTGGCTGAAGGCTTTGCCGCACACGCGGCACTGGTAGTGCTTCTCCCCAGTATGCAGCCTCTGGTGCTGGAAGAGGCCGGAGCGCTGGCTGAAGGCGCGCCCGCAGACACCGCACACATAGGGCCTCTCACCCGTGTGCCGCCTCTGGTGCTCCACGAGAATGGAGTTCTGTGTGAAGCTTTTCCCACACTCCCTGCAGACGTGAGGCCTCTCCGCCACTGAGGAGCTTACCCGGTGCCTGCCCAGTCTGCCCTCTGGGCCACAAGCATCTCCGCATTCAGGCACCTGAGTGGTACCACTGCTGAGAGTTCCAGGTCCTTCCACAGGAAATTTTATTTCTTTAGAGCCCTCCTCCACTGGTGCGAACTCAACATTCCGAGTCCCAGCCTCGCTACCGCTCTCCTGCACTGGGCGCGCCTCTGGCATGTGACACTGCAGCTGCTCTTCTGAGCACGGGAACTGGCTGCATGGGGATACCTGGGCTGTTCCTTGAGTTGCCTTCTGCCTCACGACCTCTTCTTGCTCGTAAGTAGGACTTGGGACCTGCTCTCCTGGCTCGTCCAGCTCCCTCTCCAAGTCCTCCAGCACAGTCACCACCTCATCCCCGCTCTCTGGATGCTGTGCGTGCACCCAGGCCTGCAGCTCTGCAGGCAGGATGGCCAGGAACTGCTCCAGCACCAGCAGCTCCAGGATCTGCTCCTTGCTGTGGGTCTCGGGCCGCAGCCACTGGTGGCAGAGCTCTCGGAGCCGGTGCAGCGCCTCCCGGGGTCCCGGGGTCTCCTGATAGCAGAACTCCCTGAAGTGTCTTCGGAAGATCTCCCTGCTTTCAAAGGTCTTCCTTGACCTGTCAGATTCTTGACCACAGGCATGGTTCTTCTCCTCTTTCACGCTCACTTCCAAAAGTCCTCGTGGAGCCCCTGTAGCCTGCAGGGCCAAGGCTCATGACTAGATGAGCCACTTTGGCACCATGATGGCTTCCTCAACAGTCGCTGCTTTCCCTTATCCCCACGTCTGTAATCTCTTCCGGTATCAAGACAGAGCACCGGACTCAAATAGAAGCAACTTCCCGGGTCGGGCTGTGAAGCTCATCCTGAGACGGCGCGGGACGCTTGCAGCGGTTTTCAGAGAGCGACCCCTGGGGCAGACTGTGGGATGCGAACCCTGGAAACGCGGGTGCATTTTCTTCTTGGCTGTCACAAAAAACGGCAGAGGCGGGGTTGGGGTGGCGTCTACATGACAGCGCTGATCGCCTGAACTTGTGAGAAGCAACCTTTGAGAAGCGCTTGGAACAGAGCTCCCGGGCGCGCTGGGCCGCGGAAACGTTCGTCCAAGAACAGCGCCGGGAGCCAGCAGGAGCAGGCCGGACGGCCGCAGCAAGGCCCCACGCGGATGCCGCCCGCCGCGCCTCCCCGGGGCTCCGGCGCAGCTCACCGAGGCGCCGGCCCCCGGAGGCGCAGCCGGCCAGACGCGTTACCTCGGACTTTTTCTCCTCTTTTTCACAATAGCAATTACACATTTAGGGTTATGTTACTCCTACATTTCTTATTACTTTTTACACTAGAGAGACAATGTCATATTTATAAATATGATTCTTATTTATTTCACTAGTGAGGACAGTCTCAAGTTGTCTCCATTTACCTATGAAGGCCTCAAGATCATCCTGTTTTATAGCTGAGTAATGTTACATTGTATAAAAAACCACATCTTTTTCATCCACTCTGCAGTTGATGTGCATCTTGGTTGTTTCCAAGATTTAGCTATTACAAATTGTGTTGCTATGAACTTGAGTGCACATACATGACTTTGGCATGACCTTTTCAGGTTTTCTGGGAAAATATTCAGGAAGGAAATAGCTGAATTGAATCGAACTTCCAATCCTAGTTTTCTGAGAAATCTCCATACTGATTTCCATAGTGGTTGCACCATTCTACACTCCCACCAACAGTGGAGCAGTGTTCCTTTTTCCCAACAGCCTCACCAGCATTTGTTATCAGTTGATTTCTTGATGGCCACTATTCTTTTCAGAGTGAGATGAAATCTCGATGCTGTTTAAATTTGCATTTCTCGAATGACCAGTGATGGTGAACATTTCTTTATGTAATTATTTGCCATTTGTGTATCTTCATCTGAGAAATGTGTGTTCATCTCAGATGTCCATTTTTGGAGAGGGTCTTTGAATTTGGGGGCTTGATGTTTTTCCGTTCTTTACATGTTCTGGATATAAGCCCTTTGAGGAGTTGTTGGCTAAAATTGTTTCCCATTCTGTGGGTTTTCTTTTCACTCTGTTGGTGATTTCTCTTGATGTGCAGAAACTTTTGAATAACATGAGATCCCAGTTGTTGATTCTTTGATGTGTTTCCCATGCAGTTTGCATTTTGTTCATGAATTCTCTGCCTACCCCTATGTCTCCAAGTCTTCTGCCTACCTGGTCTTCCAGTAGATTTAAGGTTTCTGTATTAATATTTAGGTCTTTGGTCCATTTAGACTTTAATTTTGTGCATAGTGATAGGCATGGATCTAGCTTCAGTCTTCAGCATGTGGAGAGCCAATTTTTCCAGCCCCATTTATTAAAGAGTGAACATGTTTAGCCCCATTTTCAAATATCAGGTGGTTGATTGTCTTTGTAGTTGTGCTTGCATCTTGTAATCTGTTCCACTGATCCTCAGGTCTATTTCTTTGCCAGTACCATGCTGATTTTATCACTGTGCCTTCGTAGTATAGTTTCAGGCCAGGAATTGAGATGCCTCCTACGTTGCCTTGCTTGCTCAGAATTGCCTTTGCTATTGTAGGTTTCTTCTTTTTCCACGTGAGTTTCAGGAGTGTTTTCTCTAGATCCGTGAGGCATGTTATTGGTATTCTGATTGGGGTTGCATGAAATGTGTAGAACAGTTTTGGGTGTATGGCCGTTTTCATAATGTTGGTTCTTCCTAACGAAGAATAAGGAATTTCCTTTGATTTTCTAATATCCTCTTTAATCTCCTTTTTTAGCATAGCATAATTTTCAGCATATAGGTCTTTTACATTCTTAGTTAGGTTGATTCCTAAATATTTCATTTTTTAGATGCAGTTGTGAAAGGCTATCTTTCCATAATTTCTCTCTCAGTGAGTTTTTGTTTGTGTACAGGAATGCTATTGAGTTTTGAGCATTGACTTTGTATCCAGCTACACTGTTGAATTTGTTTATTACTTCCAGTAATCTTTTCATGGTGTTTTTGGGTCTTCCAAATAGAGTATCATGTTATCTGCAAATAATGATAATTTAACTTCTTCCTTTCCTATCTTTATTCATTTTATTTCTCTCTCTTGTCTGAATACCCTAGCTAGTGTTTCCAGAACTATGTTGAATAGAAGTGGTGATTGTAGACATCCTTGTCTTATTCCTGATTTTAAAGTGAAAGCTTTCAGTATAGTATTGCCATTTAGTATAATGTTGGCTATAGGTTTGTCATAGATGGCCTTTATAAGATTGATGCAGACACTGCGTAGTCTGAGTTTTTGAAGGGTTTTTAATCATGAACACGTGTTGGACTTTATCAGAAGTTCTGCATCTATTGAAATGACCATGTGGTTTTTGTTTCTGATCTGTTGATGGGATGTATTACATTTATTGATTTGCATATGTTAACCATTCCTGCATTCCTAGAATGAATCCCACTAGGTCATGATGTATAATCTTATTGATGATTTGCTGCATTCTCTTTGCCGGTATTTTATTGAGAATCTTTGCATCAATATTCATTAGAGAGATTGGGCTATAGTTCTCCTTTTTGGTTGGGTCTTTCTCTGGTTTTGGTATGAGAGTTATACTTGCCTCCAGGAATGATTTAGGGAGGATTGCTTCCTTTTCATTTTTTTTGAAGAATTTAAGGAGTATTTGCATGAAATCTTCTCTAAATTTGTTATAGAATTCTGCCACGAATCCCTCAGAACTTGGCCTTTTCTTTTTGGTAAATTTTAAATTATAGTTTCAATTTCAATAGCTGATACTGGGTTATTTTAAAATGCTACATCTTCTTGGTTGAGTTTGGTCGTTCATATGTTTCTAGAAATCTGTCCATTTCCTCTGTGTTTTCCACTCTATATGACTAGAGACCTGTAAAGTAGGTATTCATGATGTTTTCAATTTCCATGGAATCTATAGTTATTTCCCCCTTCTCAGACCTTATTGCATGAATTTGAGTTTGTCTTTCTTTTTCTTTATGAGGTTAGCTAGAGGCTTGTCCGTTTTGTTTATTCTCTCAAAAACACAAGCTTTTTGATTCATTCTTTGCATTTTTTTGTTTCAATTGCATTGATTTCTGCTCTAATCTTTAGAATTTTCTCTCCTATGAGTTTTGGGTTTAACTTGCTCTTTTTTTTCTAGAAGCTTGAGATGAAGGATTATATTGTTTATTTGAGCTTGTTCTGTTTTCTTGATATGACAATTTATTGCTATATATTTCTCTCTTTAGACTGCTTTCATTTGATCCCACAGATTACAGTATGTTGTTTCTGCATTTTCATTGATGTGTAGGTACTGCTTTATTTCTTCTGTAATTTCATCTGTAACCCACTGGTTGTTCAAAAAGTTGTTATTTAATTTCCATGTATTTATGCAGGTTTTGCAATTTTTTGCCATTAATTTGCGATTTCAGTGTGCTACAGTTAGATAGTAGGCATGGGATAATTTCAGTACCTTTGAAGTTACTTTAAGAATATTTTATGGGATACTATATGGTCTATTCCGGAGACTGTCCCATGCACAGCTGAGAAGAATCTGTATTCTGACATGCTTGGGTGGAACACTGCAAACATCTACCAAGTCCAGTTGCTCACAGGTATATTTCAGTTCTATTATTTCTTTTTTTATTTTTTATTTTAAAGAGATAAAGACCAAAAAGGACAGAACAAAGAACATCAGAACAGAACAATGTAAGCAACACAGTACTTCACCACAAGACAACCCAATATTAATAGTAGCTACCTTAATGTCTCTTTCTTTGAAATAGTTGAGTGTATTAACGTACAATAGTATCAAACATAACAAAATAGTATAACACCATACAAGAGAATGAAAGTATTATAGGGCCCTCAGAACCAAATAACAGAAAACAAATAATGGCTACTATATTGTCTCCTTTTCCATAAAAAATTTGTGTATACTATCACACATATTAAAATCCAATAAGATACAACATGATAGAATCAACGGAAACAGAAGAACAAAAGCATAGTAGGACTTCAAAGCAAGATCAAATTAAATCAGCAATGGCTGCCAAAATGTCTTTTTTTCTTCAAAATAGCTGTTCATATCATCACACATAATGAAATCAAGCAAATCATTAAAACTATCCCAATTAATGAATGAAAACATCATAAGACTTCAAAGCAATGTAATGGGCAATCATGATTACCATAAAATTTTATGTACACTTATCGTTTCTTACACCAGGGAGACTATACAGTATTCATACATGTGAGTTTGATTTGTTTCACTTATGAGTATGGCCTCAAGTTGCATCCACTTATTTATAAATATCCCAATGTGATCATTCTTTATAGCTGAGTAGTACTCCATTGTATAACACTATCACAACCCTTTTATCCATTCCTCAGTTGATGGACACTTAGGTTGTTTCCAAGATCTGGCTATTGCAATTTGTGCTGCTATAAACATGGGTCCACATATATCATTGTGGTATGATGTTTTTAGTTCTTCTGGAAATATGCTAGGTCAAATGGGACTTCCAATCCCAGGTTTTGAGGAATCTCCAGACTAACCTTCACAGTGGTTGCCCCAATCTATTCTCCTACCAACAGTGTACAAGAGTTTGTTTTTTCCTACAGCCTCTCTAGCATTTGTTGTTGGTAGTTTTCTTGATTTTGGCCATTCTTTCTGGAGTGAGATGGAATCTCAGTGTTGATTTAATTTGCATTTCTTTAATGACTAATGATGATGA